TCATACTTTTTTCTTCTATTATCTTTATCCAGTTTTAGGATTAGCACAATGTTGAGTTCCTAAAATGAGGGGAGAAGTGTTCCTTTTGTTTTCTCCTTTAAATATTTGATATAATTTATCAGTTAAAATGTATAAGAGCCTGTTATTGTCATACAGGTAGGTTTTCAAGCTAGGAATATATTTTCTTTAATAGGTGCTATTCAAATTTTATATTCCTTCCAAAGTTAGTTTCATTAATTTGTCTTCCAAGGTAATTCTTAGAAGTTGTCAAATTTATTTTAAAACAGATTTTTGAAATATGCTTTCTATATCCTTTTAAATTCTGTAAAATCTGTGGTAATGTCTCCTAGGTCTTGATATTTTAATTTTTAAAATGTGTAATTGATATTGTGTAATAGGAAGTAAAGGTCTGGGGGGGGAGTGGTAGGGGGAGGGGAAAGAGGGGGAAAAGTATGAGAAAGGGAAAAAATGGAAATGGGATCTTTGCAAGTGGGGTGGGGTGGATGGGGGGGAGGGGAGGGCAGAGGAAGGGGGAAAAAATAAGAACCAAGATACTCATGTAATGGTACAAGATCCCAATTATGTATGAAAATGTATTTTATATCTAAAATGTACCAATAAACTTAATGGTGGAAAAAAAATCCAAATGAAGGGATAGTAATGAGAATAAAGTTAAAATGTAAACAATATGGATGAATGAAAAGGAAAAGGGAAATATGGATTCTTCTGCATGTGTGGACAGAGAAAACAAGGAAGAGAGAAATCTGAAAGGTAGATATAGACTCTATTATGATTACCCACAAATGCTGAGAAAAATACTGTTCGGTTTACATTTGTTTTAAAGAAATTAAAGATTTTAAAGCTCAGAGAACTGTGTGGTCAGTGCTGTAATTTAGAGGCACAGTATTGTTGAAGGTGTTTTAATGGAACAGAGAATGAGGTGGACCAGCTAAGAAGCTTCAATAGTGGTCTAGAAGTGAAGAAACGAGGGCCTGGAGTGAAGGAGCATTAGAGGATGCAGGTGTAATCCCTAGAGAATGTGCAGAAGAGGACCCCACTGGACTTTTGCAGGAGCTGGAGGGATCATCAAAGGAGAGTAAGCTTTGGGGCCTAAGAATGCCTATACTCATCTCCTTACTTGACTTCATTCACTCTGTGATATCGGGGTTACTTATACTGCATTTCAGGATGGTTGAGGATTGCAGATGATATATGGCAGATATCTCTGGCATTTGATTGGAAGTAGAGAACAGAGAATCTGAAAAAATATATATGATTTAGAACTTCAGACAGGAGCCAAAGTTGGAACATTTCCCCCAAGGCCTGCCATCCATGCTCCCTTCCCACCAATGCTAAACAGGCACATAACTCACATAGGTAAAGGCTAATAATAGCCAAGTGAGAGTCAGTAAATGTGCACCAGAATTCTACTGCAAGCAATGTCAAGCTCTTTGCAAAACATTGAAATGCTTCCCCCTTTCTCTAAGGATGCCCAAGGAAAAAGGAAGAAATCTACAGTATGAATAATGCCATATTCCTCTCTCATGGATACAGTATGCTACAGAAAAATGCTAGAAAAACACAAGAAAGGAAAACAGTAACTATCCCCCTTCCCTGTGAACTACATTTATTGTATGTCTCCTAATCCCTGAATCATAATACCCCCTCACCTAGCCAGTTACTTGCTGAAAAACTTGAATTTAAAGCCAAGAGAATAACTACATGATCTTACGTTTCCTTCATGCATCATAATTTTATGACATTGTGACAATGGACAATATTCATCAGGTCAGATGATTCCTTCTGAGACCATTTCCATAAATATCTCCCAAATGGGAAGTTATGTACAATTTATGTGTGTACTAAAATTTTGAAAATAGAAAAAGTATAGTGTATTTCAGATAAAGGCAGAAAAATAGGAATGTCAGAGTTCATGCTGTGAAGAAAAGAGAACAAGAAAGTTAAATTCAATAGAGGGAAAAAATATACTGATGAAGAGTAAAAGCTAAACCACCTGATTATGGGAGGATAAGGTTAAGACAGAAACCTGAAATGACATGTACCATAGGATTTCTAAGAAGGAATATGGCATAGACAGAAACCAGATCATAAGGACTAAAATTTTAAAAAGGATAAATATTCTAGAATGCTCTTACTTGGCCAAAATGGGTAGATTTGTTTGTGAGAGTCTCAGAATAGATTCTCAGCAGATGATACTTACATGCTATGCAATGACTCACATTTCCCTGGACCTCTAGAGTTTTAGGCAAATAAAGTCACTTGTCTATAAGCATCAAGAAGTTTAGTTGTATTTGAAGTGAATAGGACTCTCACTAGCAGGTACACTAAGGACTTGGATACAAAGGAGAAATTTAAAAATTATGGGTGGTAAAACAGCTCTGCATACAAGAAGGCTCATGCCCCAAGAGGGTTCCTGGCCAAGTGAGTCTGTGCTTCCAGGCTGGGCCCTGGCATGAAGGATGAGAGGGGCTGAAAAAAGAAGATGAGAAGCATGGAGGAAAGGGAAAGACAAGAGGCCAGTGTTTGGGGGCCCTGGCAGGTGCCTTGCACCTAAGCCAAATGCACTGAAGCATTGTGTCTGCTCCCCTAGTGAAAGTCACTTCCAAACTGAGCTGGCACGAGCCTGGGATGACGGTAGAGGGGCCACGTCTCAGTGCCACTGAGTGCCATCCAGAGCACTGAGTCACACTGAGTAAGAAAATCTCTTAGTTTGCACATCAATACGCCCCTATAGCCTTATGGTTAGGACTTCAGACAAGCATGGCGCAACACTGTCGTAGCAATAACAAAAGCTTTTAAATAGGAAACAGAGTGAGGGTATAATGCAAGTGATGCAAAATTACACAAAACCAGTATAAGATGCCCACTATTTTAAATTTTACCAGAAATATATTTTTCACAGTAATGAAAATGAACAACATACTATTTTTGTGTACATACATGCTTGCTTCCTTGGGTTTTAAATTGGCTCCAGAAACTCAAGTTCACTTGCTACATACATAGCAAAAGTTATATTTAAGTTTACTCCACACAAGATTGTCACCAACTCTAAAATTCAATAATTCTCTAAATGTTCTGGATTGGAACACTTTCTCAATTGAACCCATAAATCCAATTTCTGGACATGGTTGATTGCCACCTGGGAGTTTACATCTCAGAGAAAACTAGAAACAGCTTTGACCAAAGCTGCCCATAAATGAATATTGTTTTTCTCTATTCCTGTAACTATGGTTTTATTTTACATTTCCTTTCTGGTTTTAAGCCACATACAGATTATAGGAGGACTGTAAACCATGAATAGAACAGCTAACTATAATTGAAGAAGAATGCAAAGCTTTATTTCTCCTTGAGGAAGTTTGTTGTTGCTTGAAATCTTGGCCATATTAATGCTGCATTCAGAATAAATTGCTTCTGTCTCAGCTGGAAGCACAAGAAACAAACTAATCATACATAGGCTTTTAATATTTAAATGATAATAGGATAGAAAAACATGGCAAGACAAAACATAATAATAATTACATGAAATACTAATGAATATAATTACAAATAAGACTCGATGGTTTCAGTCAGTAAAGGTGACTTATTTACAAATTATAATCCTTGTTACTTTCCTTTTAAAACATTAATTTCATATTTAGTAGAAACTGTCAGATTAATACGCAAGGAAGCATCACTGGATGAAACTTTGCTAATGCAAAATTCAGGATCCTGTTAGATTCAATGCTATAATATGAAAATTAATATGATTTGATAAATGAAAAAATTATGATCTAATTATTTTATTTTTTATTTAATTTTATTGATACACTTTTGATATATATATGATCATATTCATCACAAGGAATTTGTACCTGTACATAACAATATTTCAGGAGGCTTTTTTCAAATAATACAATGTAAATGTCTTCCAATAGATAGGACTGACAAAGGAATAAGATATAAGTCAATTTGAGAAAACAATTAAATCTAAAGTCACATTAGATTTGAAAACAGCAGTGTGAGATCAAGATTCTGCTCCTCACCTCAGCGAAGCTTCACCCTCAGGGATGTGAGACCAGCACAGTGCTGAAGGAGCAGAGCCCGGCAGCAGCTGGAGAGAGGAGATGGTGGAGTGGCCAGAGGAAAGCTTGACGGTGGGAGCAAGCAGCCTTATTTCCATGTGAAGCTGCTTTGGGCAGCTGCTCCCTCTCGATCTATTTTGCTAGTCTCTCCTTCCTTTTCTAACTGGTACCATTTGAAGTTCTTTGGATTAAATTCTTATTTCTCTTTTCTTGTCCGTCTACACTCACTTCCTAAACAATCTCATATAATGTCATGACTTTAAATAATGTTTATATCCTGAAAACTCCTGAATTTGTATCTCAAATTCCTATGCCTTCTCATGAACCCCAGTTCCATATGAGCAACTGTGTACCTGACACCTTAATATTTAGAGTACATCTTGAACTTAACCCAAACACACACCTGTTGGCTCTCTCTAACCCTCTGGCAATCAGACTTCTTCCTCACCTACCCTACTCGTGAGATGGCAGCCCCGGCCTTTCAAACACCTGGGATCTATCCTTAGCTCCTTGTTTTCTCACTTTCCACATCAAACCATCAGCGAATCCTGTAATCATTTCCTTCCAAACACCATGTCGCAACACCTCCAACCCTCGGCAATAGACCAACCACCATCATCTCTCACTTGGACCCTTGGAAGTTACTCTCCTCTTGATGTGCTGCCAGTCTGATGCCCAGAGTGACGTGGCTGATCCTTTAAATATGTACAACAAATCCTGCTACCGCTATGTTCAGAAACTTCCAATGTCTTACCATCTTCTCACATATCCTAAAAGCCAGGTCGGTGGACACACTCTCTTTGTTTTTCACGCTGACAGCATTGCAGCTAGTTGCTCTGACTTCTGCCCCCATCACAGATCTTCCAGGTAGGAGACACCGGTCTGTTCTCTCCTAGACGCAAGACACTTACTGGCGCTTTGGAAGTGGTCTCTTATGTAAGGTGGAGGGGGCCCTTCCAACCCTCACCTCTTGAGATGAGGAGATCATGACACTGCTCCTTCCAGAAAAAGCTTCTTCAAATATCTCTCTCTTAAAAAAAAAAAACAACTCTCTCTTAATCCCCATTTCCCAAATCTTTTATTCTTCTAGTAGATAAATGCCCCATATTACCTGCTTTGAAATGTTTGTATTTGACCAGCACCTCATTTGGGAGTAATCCTTAGCTGTAATTTTCATTTTTAAATGGTATACCTAGGTCCTTAACTTTGTGTATTTTTCCCAAACAAGATGCTAACACCCCAGAGTTGTAGGTAGAAGAATAGTGTCTGGCTTAAACTAAGGACTCAGCATTGATTGGATAAATGGATGATTGAAAATTCTTTCAGTTTCTTGGCCATTTTCTCGAGGGCTCGCCAATGGCTCAATGGAGTTGAACTGCTGGGCTGTAGGTAAGGCTGCTGATTCCCGTTCGGCTCACTGCTCTGCTTTCGCCCTGCTCCTATCTCATCTCAGGACACTTGTGTATGTGACCTGTGCCAGAGCTCTCCCCAGTCTTCCCCCAACCCAATGCTTCTTCCACAGTGTAAGGATAATTCTCTATATGTCGATACCATTACTCTGAAAAATCTTGAATGGCCCAATCTAAAGCTCACCTACAACATTCTCTATAAATTGAATCTAACTTGGAGTTTCAAAAGTCTACAGACAAATTCTTTGGGCTTTTCACTTTAATGAACTTGATAGTGTGACCCTTAGTTACACTTTCAAAACCATCTCTAGCACCTAGCTCTTCATCATTCCTATGTCCTAGTCCAGCCATATTAATCCCTGATGTGACTTCCTCACATTATTCCCTATGTGCGGTGCTTTGCTCAGATCTTTGTTTGAAAAGTTTCTGCATAGTCTTTAAGACCCAGATAAAATTTGTTTTGATTTCTTGACTTTTCTCTCCATCCCAGGTAAAATTTGTGTTGTTATTCAGCCATTCCTCTGATTTTTACACATTCATTCAAAACACTCTTATTGGGTACTAGCTAAATGTTTGCTCTGATGCTAGATATAGTAACTCTCAAGTAGATACAGGTTTCTATGATTTAGGAGCTTATAGAATGGTCATAATTTTTAAAAAGAATGTAAATAAGTAAAATGTGATGAGGGAAAACTACTAGAGTCATGGGATTATGGAGTCACTAAATGTGGAGAGATTAGAAAATATTTTGTAGAGTGCAAAACATTTGATTACTGTTTTGAAGGACAAGTAGGAATCTACATCTAGGTAAATGGGCAGATGTGGAGATAAGGGCTCCAGATAAGGAACATCATCTATGCATTAATTCAGACTGCATATGAGAAGTGAGAGGCTGCTAGGTAAAATCTGAGGGCTGGACAAGAGTGGGAGCGAAGAGGTCAGTGTTGTGAACCAATGTCTGATGATATGAGGAAGCTGACTCAGAATAACGATATCCAGCATCATGTTCTACACCCTCATCCACTAAACATGTAGCCAGTCATGTCGTAGATGCTTCTTTCAAAGTTTCTCTTCCCTGTCCTGGCTAAATCTTCCCTGTCCTGGCTAAAATCTTTGGAATTGTGAGGAAAATATCCTCCTGATCTTTGTTCTCTCTTCCTCCTTTTCTCCTTCATCAAGTGAGGACAGGACTTACGCAGAGATCAGGGGAGAGGATGTGCTCTCTGCACGTCCTGCATGATTGCAGGCAAGAGACCAGAACTCCCCAGAGCTGGTGTCCTGACTTGCCACAAGTGAAAATAACAGTGGGTGGAAGTTCAGTGTGAGTGAGTTATATATTATCCATATGTGTAGACATATCAAACACTTGTTATAAACTGTCACTTAATAATTGTGATAATTTTTTTTCTTTTTTTGTACCGGGGATCGAACTCAGGACCATTGCGCTTGCGAGGCAGGCGGCAGAACCACTGAGCTAAATCCCAGCCCTAATTGTGATAATTTTGATGTCATATTTCTCATGGTTGTCCCATATTTCAAATTTCATGAAGTTTTAAAGAACCTGGTTCAAATTTTCACACTAAAGATATATGCTAGATAGGTAGATAGATCGATAGACTCTCTCTCTCTCTCTCTCTCTCTCTCTCTCTCTATATATATATATATATATATATACATATATTTAAAATCCTACAAGTAACTTCTTAAACCACTGGGATATGAAACTTTAATTTAGGATCCTGGGACATATTCTTTTCAATAATAAAAATAAAGTGAAAAGAATATAGCTTTGGCTTTGGATGGATTTTCTTTCTCGATGTATCTGACTCTGAAAGGATGTCATTAAAGCTTCTTTTAAATGAAATCATTCTATTTTTAAAAGCAAAATTTATTCACACAAAGATCTTTCTGAAATAAATAACAGTATCAGATATTTTAAATCAAACATGCTATATTCCTTCTGCTTAAATATGTCAGGTGTAAAGCAGAGCTCTATTGTGAAAATACAGCATAGCCACTTTTGATTAGAAATACGTTTGAGTCAACGCTAAAGAAAAGTTAATTTTCACTTAACCCATAGAGCAGATAAACTGACATTTAAACCTGAGTGTCTGTAAGAATCTTGATTTTGACAGACATAATTTACAGTCTTTCCAGGATATACTTTCATTTAAATTTCTTCTTCAATGTAAAAGGATCGATAGAAAATCCACCATGATAAATAGTTAGAATTTTTCATGGATTTCCATTTCACTTTAAATCAACATTCTACTCCAGTACATTTCTAGATAAAAATAATCTTAAATATTAGTATTCCCTAGAGAGTACCACAGTATTCACATTTTCCAGAATGAGATAAAAAATACAAGGAAGTGATATAACTTGCCTCAAGTCACACAATCATTTCTACTCTTGCCATTAGCTACATCATAATTCATTTCTTAACAATAAAGTCCTGCCAGAGATATTTTAACTGTTTCCTGAGACTAGGGATTGATTAAGCTGTTAAATTATGCATTAAAGAGATGCTCAGTGCTCTAGAAGAGTTAAAGTGCCTCCAAGCCCTGTGTCAATACCAAAGCCTGGCAAAGAAAAGAATTAGGAACTATCAAAGCCATAGAGTTTGACAAAGTTATCTCCTATTTATTATTAATACCACTTATCAATAAGTTCTAATTAGTATCTAATTTTTATTTTAGTTTAGCATATTTTGCATATTCTGTCTTCTATGCTCTTTGAAGAAAAAATTCAAAAAATATATAAATAGAACAATATTAGAGATTCATTTCAATTAATGTAACTTTCATCACTGATTCTTAATACTGGTTGGACATTATAATGACCTGGAGGACTTTTTCTGAATGTAGAGGTCAGTTACTCACTCTTGCAAATTCTTATGTAATAGAACACAACAGCCACAAAATATGATCCCATACCATAATTTACTGAAATGTTAACTTATGAAGAAATGATATTTATAATTTGTACAGAGTGCTTTTATTGCATTTAAACAAGTCTATAACCAATGATCCAGACATGCATAATAATGCTCATGGAGCTGAAGTAATCAATAACAAAACCTTTTCCAGTCTAGTTTAGATATAATTGACTATGACTTGATCATGGTTTCTAAAGATTGGTCTAACTCTTTCCCCAGAGCATATGTATTTCTAAAATTCTAGTGCAAAATAGAATTCATTATTTGTGTGACACATCAAAGATGAGTGATAACACTACTCTATGTGTAATTGCTTCGTATATGTTTTATTAAAGGACAATTTCATATGAACTTGTTCTTTTCCATGACTGGTGACAAGCTTTTAAGTAGCTTCATAGGAAAAGCTGTGATTAATTGCAGTCTAGTACATTGTAACTGTTGTTTACAGTTTGTGAAGAACAGCATCTAATCAATAATATATTAATGACTATTTTTTAGCCCTTCTAAATTAACAGCTAAAGGCAAAGAGTTGTTGTTGTTCTCTACTCCTTTATAGTTTGGGTGTAAAATCAAAAGAAATGTAATTGGGGTTTTGATTAATGTTGACTTTAACAGATTGCTTCTGTTTAGTGCAGCTATTTCCTCCATTTATCTCTGTATAATGGTAAGACTGTATCTCCAATGAAGTTCTTTAAGGCTACCATTTTTCATCAGTATTCTTCCTTGACTTCACAGTCAGTGGATCTTGTTTTGTTTTTACCGTGGGCTTCCTCTTAGAGTACAAAAACAAAAAATATTTGGCACTGTCGTAGAGAACAAGAGCTTCTGTGAGCATCATTTTAACCGCCTGGATGGCTCCAGCACTGCAGTTTCCATTGGCCTGAGTGGTCTGGAGCTCTAGCTGGGCAGATGCCACTGATGCTCATGGTAGAGCCCATCAGAGTCCCTATTCTCAATGAGAAGGATACTTGTAAGAATCAAGATCTGTGGGCATGAAGCAAACATAGTATAAGACAACATCTAGTATCTTCTAAAATGTAAGATAAAACCAAATATTTTAAGAGAGAGAGAGAGAGAGACAGAGAGAGAAAGAGATCGTTGTGGACTGAGGTTATTAGGGCAGATATGAATGTCCTGTTCATTGTGTCTTCAAGAACTATTATGGATAAGAAGGGAAGATGACAATGAGGTCAGTGAGGGCAAAACAGCGATAATCACAGCAGAAAAGCAAACAAACCTCCCTAGTGGGCCCACATGCATTACAGAAATGGAAGGTGGCTGACAGGTCAAACCACAGAGCAAAGGGGAGAATCTACATCATCCCTGTGCGTAGCATACTGTGTGGTAATGGCGAGGAAAGTGGCTGAAGGTAAGTGTGACCGAGATCCGTGGGCTAGATAGAATGATGGCAGCAGAAAACCCTGTAAGGTGGCAACCACAGATGTCACATAATATAGAGAGGCAGAGTTGGGGGAAAGGGAATTGATGGAAGAGAAGAAATAAATG